TGACTACAGTTTCATCTGGCCTGCAAGCATCCGAGTTATGACGGCAACACGCCTGAAGTTTTTGGCTGCTTGTGGACCAATTAAACAATTCATAATAATAATAATAATAAAACTATGACTACATTTATGTCATTATCAGCCTAAAATGTCAATATATTGATGAACATGTAAGACACGGCATTAATGCATGCTGTACCCTTCCAGTACTGTTCAATCCATAATTAGTAGCATGCTGTTACATGTTGTGAAACTTAATGAATACAGAGATAAAACTAAAAATTTAGTATAACGTTTTTTTAAAATTATAATTTGCAGTTGCTGTAATGGCGTGTTGCAAAAATTTTTGTTTTGTAGAGCAGTTCCTGCATCCTTGAAAGCATAGATGAGTTCTGTCAACTAAAATGCTCCCTGGGCTGCACTCCAGAGAAGTAACAATGACTGTTTGCTGTTGGGGAAATCTGTAATTCGAGCCTAGCAAGCGAGCATACCGCCTCGAGACAATGGGTGTACAAAATACTAAGGTAGTCCGCCTCATCTCAGAATAGCTGCGGGTAAGACAGAAGACTCGTCTTCAGGCTGTTACGGCAAAGAGGGCCAGAGCTTCTGGAGAGATGCTTGTAATCAATTGTAGGTTTCCTGATGTGAGTAACGTAACTGGTAAGTGCTGATACGTTTCTTTTGGTGGTAACCAGATTTGGCCAGGTCGTTCTTTATTCTGACCGAGGTTGTTTCGTGGTTTAATATTTAGAATTAATAGCAAATCACAGCTCTGTTGTAGATTACTAATTAATTTAAATTTTACAGTGTGGAACTTATCACCAGTTTTGTAAGCCAACAGGATACTGATTTTAAAAATAAAAAAAGAGGATGGATATCATTTATGTATGACATGTTCCAATTTTTAGTTTTGGCAGTATTTTGTAGAAAGTTTTATAGGAATAAACATATTCCGAAGAATAATTGTTTTACACATTGTTTATTGTCCGAGATGTATTGATGAACACGACATTTTAGGAGTTGGCTCTCGTCTCGTCATCAGGCTATTTGTCATGGTCATACCGACAATTTCTTTTTGTCCTCTTTATGTAAGTGACAACTGCTGTGATCAGACCCAGAATATTTTGAATTCTAAGCCAGTTTGCTAATCATTATAGCACTGGTACCTTTTGAATATTATCCCAGTGCACTAGCCACTAGTATAAGTGGTATAATGGTCTAGTGGCTGGTGTACTAATGTAGTGTTAAAAATGTTTGGAAGTTTGTTCTTGTCCGCATGTTGTTTCTTGGGTCTACAACCCAGTTGTGGGTTTACGCCACCTCCTTTTCAGAGGTATCTTGGTCATGAAGTATGCGTTTATGAGTAGTGAGTGACCAGCCCACTGACTCTGACTTGTAGGAGTCAGGAGAGACGTGGGTGAGTAATATGAGAAAGATAAATAAAACTGTCAGATTAATGACCTGAAGACGGGAATAGTGTCAACTCCATAAACTTATATACGAGGCGCATCCTCAAAGTAAGTTTCCCTGGGGCCGTTTACAGAAACAAAACACAATTTCATGGAAATATTTATTGCAACAGATACAGCAAGTGTCCAGCTATTTTTCAACATATTCGCCACCGGAATTGAGACATTTGTCATACCGTGGGACCAACTTTTAATACCTGTGTCGTAGAAGTCTGCCGCCTGGGATTGGAACCACTGTGTGACAGCCATCTCCGCCTCTCTGTCATTCTCAAAACGCTGACGCTGACCGGACAGGAATTTCTTGAGGTGTAGGAAAAGATGGAAATCACTGGGAGCGAGGTCCGGGCTGTAGGGTGGATGATTAAACACCTCCCAGCTGAACTCCTGCAGGAGACTTGCTGTCCGTCGAGCCGTGTGCGGCCTAGCGTTATCACTGACCGCACTTCACAGTCGGCGGGAGCTGGAATAAGAACCTCCATCTTCAACAGCTGCAACGATGCTACTGTGAGAACGCGGGAAGTACCGTTAGTGCATGCGCCATGCTACGTCATTGCTCTATCACGTACGTACAGTCGCTTCGCGCAATATAAGGTTTGCTAGCTGTGGGACGAGTGGGAAACTTACTTTGTGGACGCGCCTCGTATATATCAGATATACCTCCGACAGTGCACATTGCCCATGATGGTGTTCTTGTAATGAATCAACGATTTTCACATAACCTGAGAGAATCGTTGCCGAAAGTTTTCCATCTCAGCGAAGTTGTTCCTGAACGTCACTTAGAACTTAACAATTTTTGTTTTGATGAATTTCTTTTGTAATTGTTTGTGATGCAATTGCAAAGTACCTATGCGGAGCCCTGTTTGACTTCATTGCTTGCAAGTAAACCGTGGTTTGCTGTCCGAGAAGAATACAGTTCAAAACCGTGGAAATTAATTAGTTCTTGATTTCTTTGGCTTTGAGGATTTTGGTGTATGCAACAGGTAATATGAGCGAAAGCTGCTAATCACCAATTGTTACTTATTAGTTACTGTTAAAAGAATGAGATTATTAGGCATCCTTTGCGGATCTACGTTAGTGGAACAGGTAATAGGAAAATGAGCTGCTGTTACTTTGCACTCTGGAGGATAAACTGAGAACTTTATTAAGAGTTGTTCTTATCATTCCGTGAGAGGATTTTGATTTGTGCTGTGGGTAAATTGAGCTTAATTTACTGTTATTTTACTATCTGTTGTTAACTCTTACATCGGTGTGTACCTTAGAAGGGGAGCAGAGCTTTATTTCAAGTAACGTACTCATCAGATTTTACACTGGTTGAGGATGTGATTGCAGGATCTTTAGACTGGATGAATTATTCCTTATTTAGAATGTGTATTTACTGAAAACGTTAAACTCGTCACAAAGGGAAAATTTTAAATGATTCGGTGGCATGTAAAAGGTGCATTACAGTTTGAATTGTGTGTTTCGGGGTTGACAGACCCTCATTATGTCTTTGTTAGACGATGAAATATGCTAACTTTTCAGAGGGGTCAACTTTTTACATTTATTTTATCACATGTCACTGTCGAGTGTTTATCACTTCTTTAATATCTTTGAGATCCAGTGTTGAAATCTTGGCTCAGAGACCAGATATGTTGAACAGTGTTTTTGTGATTTTCCTCAGTTCCTCTATGTCATTGCCAGGATATTACCTTATATTAAACCACATTTGCTGCCTTTGACATCTGTCAAATTCATTATTCGGCAATCATCCTGTCACGCTTCTTTCAATAGCGTGAATGTGATGAAAACATTTTAATTTAAAGCAAAGACTAATCTGTGTTATTTTTAGCTTTGGACAATTTTTTTCAGTGACGCTAATGATCCATCAGCAGCATTATTTTAATCAACATGTTTTCAGTTATGAAGAAGAAGAATATTGTGATGCAGGAAAAACATTGACTTCATGGGCAGTGCAGGCTGCCTTCAGCTGACTGAGGAAGAACTCGACGGCCAGATGTGCTTGTCGGATGACCAGTACAAGTGAGTTTTCAGTGTGCATTTGAACTTGACAAATTAACCCATATACTGTTACTTTTGACTTCTGTCGAATATCCTTGTATTACTATATAGTGAAATTCAATTTTATGGTCATTCCATCCCAAATCTTGGCAGACCACAAGCTAACGTTTTTAGATTTCAGTGAAAGTTGGTGAATTTGTAGCCTTATAGAAAATAATAGTTTTCTTGCAAAATTTTGGCATCCTGTGTCGTGCAGTTTCCGGGGTGCAGCTATGAAAGGGGCCCCCCCCCCCCATCATTCTGTACAAGCTGTGAAGCCCAGTTGACCATCACCTGGTTGCTTTCTTTGTTTCAAGTAACCTTGAGGTATATTTATTTTACTCTGATTTTATCGCCATCAGTTAAATATGCACGTATTCAAGTGTGCAGACGTGTGAGAACTTAACATTTTCATCAAGACGCTCATACTTAATCTTTTTTGTATAACGTTTCTGTTTCACCAACTTCACATTGTTTTGTGCTTTAAAAAATCATATTAGCTTATGATATTCTGGGTAAAGCAGTTCTGCAGAATTCTGTCAAAATCTTTTCACTCGTGACTGAAACGGGAGATGAACGGCAATTACGGATTCACCACTTTTGATATAATTTTCAACGGCAAATACACGATGCTCGCGGGTCCGCAGTGCCACGGCTACTGAAACTGCATTATCTAAGCTGTCTACTAGCAAGGGGCGGAAATCCCCCACCCTCCTCCTTGCCGAGTACTAGCCATTCGAAAAACATGCGTTTCCTCTGCCGCACCCAGTATAATAGTGATTTTGCCTCATTCTGCTTGTTTTTCATGCTTAATTTCATTAATGTGATCAGCTATTTCAGAAGCCATATGACATGAAATCCGTAAATACAATCTGTGGGTAAAATGCAGAGTTTCTGATAGTTAAAGCAGGCGATACTAAGTAGTAAGGTGTTAAGTGAAAGCTAAGTGCATGAAATTAAAAAATGATTGTGAGTAGTTCATGATAAATTTATTAAGCACATTGTCAATGATAGAAACCTTCAGAATAATAATAAGAATTTCAGTCCTAAGAATTATAAAATAAGCTTGTCAGGATTAAACAAGTAATAAATCTGTTTGAGAAATGTGCGTAAGTGACATATCTACAAAGTCATAGGCCATACGTCACGTCAACATAGAGGGGTATAGTTCGCGACCGTAATCTTGAGACTTGGTGAGGAATTCAGGAAGTCCGAAGCGTTGAAGGCAGACGCTATCTTTCCTCCTCAAGATTACAGTCACGAGCAGTAGAATGTATTGATTACTTAAGTGTATCCACAAATTAGAATCCTTTTTGAGAAGCAGACGGAAACTTGATTAAATATCTGTGTTCTATGGATCCCAAAGGGCTGTTACTGTATTCACATGAGCCTTTCATGTATCCGTATCCTAAACTATTTGATAACAGTCCACGCCCTACATAAGATCTATTTTAATATCATCCCATCTGCATTGAAGTCTTCAAGTGTTCTGACTGACATCTTTTAAGTAAGTCTCAACTTGATGTGTGATGTTTCCTTGATCTCATGCTTTGGTGGTGAGTACAAGTTGTGTTACCTGCTTTTCTGTTTCAAAAATTTACCGCAGAACCTTGGTCATGCTGCTGGTGGGTTTTCCACAAAAGCAATTATAGACTACACTGAAAAGAGATTAAAGCCGATTACTTTCCTTAAGGTTTACCAACAATAATGCTGTATATATTTTTCCTGTTCCTTTTTTGATTGTTTACTACATTATGTGACAGCTGTGTGTCAACTTCAGGGATTACTTAACGTTGAATGAAATGACCGCCACGGTGGTCTAGTGGTCAGAACACTAGCCTTGTAAGCTTGGGGTCCCGGGTTCAATTCCCGGTGGTGCTCAAATTTATAACTTGTGTTGGGTAAGGCCGTGGTCTAGGCATCACGGAGTTTTCCTCCGGGGGCTTCCCCAGTTTCTCCGTGGCATCCCAACAATTACTCCACTCACACACAGAAGAAGGCAATGGCAAAACCACTTCTGATCATCTCTGCCAAGAATGTATATATGTATGAGCAGGTCCCTGACAACCTGAAGAGGTTGGAAGGATCCTGTCGTCAGACAGAACACTACAAATAAATAAAGAATGAAATGAGAAGATGGTTATGAAAGGATACTTTGGAATGTGTCAAAGGGAAACAGTCGTGGTCTAATTCACTGTACTATCCCCGTCATTCACTGGAGTGACTGAAGAAATTCACAGAAACGTTTAGTCGGGAAATGCGATTCCTGTTCTGAGATTTGAACAAATTAAATCTGGAATATAAATCATCCATTACGTAAGATTTGAGGTTTTCAAGGCAGTGAGAATGTGGGTTGTGGTTTGGTAACCTACAAGTTTACGTGATGTCACAACCACGTTATATAAGTTATTGTTGCATGTGACTGCTTTTAAAAACTCTGTTGTTGTCGCTAAT